TAGATACTAATAGCATAAATAATTTAAAGTGAAAAGTAATAATACTTACTTCGCCACGAGCGAAATCACTACACGTCTAATCATTCCAGCTTCCCTGAGACGAATGACCGTTAGGCTGGTTGACTGGCTGTCATTGGTTGATTCGGTTATGTATAAGGCCTGTGATTGGTGCGTCGGTTGGTGAAGAACGTGAGGATTGGTCGCTTTCCTGCTTGCTCAACTTTCTATTTGAACGAAATAGAATATTTACCGCCGAATTATATTTCAATATATTTTCTTATATGCACCCGAGATTAATTCAGGAGGGAATGACTATCATGAAAGGGAAACAAAGAGACACACACTATCCCCGAAAATGTGATATTCCACTTCCTAATAGATCGAAAGTATTAATTTTACTCTCGTCTTCTCGAAGTTTTCAATCCTCCAATGGTTCTCTAACGCCATCTATGATAAATATATCCTGTCAATTTGACAATGATGCCAAAGTTTATGAAATACAATACAATAGATATTACCAGTTAAATAATAGATCAAAACTATTTTTCATGAAGAAAGCTTGACTAGCTAAGCTCTAGTTGGGTCGAAGTTCATTGTTTAATTACTTCCTCACCAATTACCAGAAGGTAATTGATTGTGCGTATTAGGATTCTTATATCACGTTATCAGATAAAAGAATATAAAAACGAATAAAAAGGGAACGTGGGAAACGTAACATTATTAAAATGTTCATTAACGATGAAATTTAGAATAAGTTATCATATTTCATCAGTATTACAATATTCATCTTTTAAACCGAAGCATTGGATATTTTTATTCCCACCAAATCATATTGGTTTGACACAACTCCATTTGTGCTAATAATACTCAGAATTCATGCTTTATTGGTAACGTCAGGTATTAGCACTGAAATGGTAAGAGGGTTACGTAGCCCTCCGAACGTGGGACAAAAAAGAGCATTGGATGATAGGTCTATTCTATACCTAGTCGGTGACCATGGTCCCTTCGATGATTTTCCTACGTACCGAACACTTATGATCTGACAACATCCTTGACTGAAAATCCCTGACTTTTTACACTATCGGTATTTCAGAACATGAGACACGAAGTCCCATAAGATGCTACGTCTATCCTATATCTACCTAGTCGGTGATATTATGTACTCAGAATTCATGCTTTGTCGGTAACGTCAGGTATTGACACTGATTGACATTAAAGTGGCATATGTTATACATAATACATATATGTACATATGTATATAAATAGATCATAGATCCCCACAAAATCCGATCACGAAAAAACATTGAATGACAGCAGGTGACATGCTATTCATATAATATGTATGTACGATATATATACATATGTATTGATAATAAAAATAATCTTAAGTAATTTATAATAAAATGGAATGGCATAATGTATTAGAAGCGGTCATGTGCAATTTAACAAAAACACAATCTTTAAAAGAGGAATTCAAACGTGAAGATGAATTAATGTCTCATTTATGGAGTAATCAAAGCACAAGGTAAACAGTAAGCAAGTAATCAAATTTTATTATTACAATGCATTTGTTACAATATTTTTATAGTCTCATAAATGACTATCGAATGATTTCTCTTTTAGGAGACTTATGTCCCTATGGTTAATGCAGTGTCACAATAAAAGGGAATCAAAATCTACAGCAAAAGCACAAACATTTAAAATAATGGGAAACAAACAATTTCAGTCTAAAAACTATTGTGAGAGTATACAATCATACACAAAAAGTGCATTGTATGCTCCAGCAAACAGTTGTGAATTGTCAATAGCAATTGCTAATAGATCTGCAGCTTTATTTTATTTAGATAGGCACAGTGTAAGTAACTAAACAAATTAATGCTTTAATTACATATACAGCTATATAAATATGTCTATACTGTTTAATATTTTACTCTTATATTAAAATTCTCTTATATACATTTTATATATAATGAACACCTAATAATGATGACAAGGATTGTATAAAAGATACTGAATTAGCACTTAAGTTCAATTATCCCAAGGAATTGCGTTATAAGCTACACTTCCGTGCATTGCAATGTTACTTGAAATTGGGTAAACCAGACCTTGCTAGGGAAATGCTTTCCAAAATATGCACATTAATTAATAATCCTGATTATGTTGCACCTTCTATGAAAGGTATGCAGTATGTACCACAGTATTCTAAGTATTCTTCTAAGCCAAGAGTTTTTTAAATTAATACATAAAATATTGAAATTTTATATTTTATTTAACATAGTATCTCCATAAATATAATTTGAAAAATTCTAAGGAGAGCTATGAAAGTGCTTTCATCTATACTCTTTATCACAGTAATAAAATAATAAAGTAGCAGTGATTTGTAATACTTTTATATGTGTTGTATCTATCTTCAGGTGATATTGAAAAACGAATTTCTGAAATAACATTCAACAAATCATGTATAAAAAATGAAACAAAAAGTATTGATAGTTTGTTAGAATTAAAATCCAAACTTATGTTCGATGAAAATCCAGATTTTCCATGTGCATCAACTGGCATTGTTAGAAAATATAATGAAGAATTAGGTAGACACGTAATTGCAAATAGATTTATAAAAAAAGGCGAAATCCTGTTTTTAGAAAAGCCGGTAAGCTTTGTATTATTGAATCATAATACAGTAGATCATCTTTGTCAACACTGCAATTGTTCAAACACAGATATTCCCCTGCCGTAAGTAATCAATTTAGTTGAATGGTAAACACTTATTGGAAGTGACAAAAGTTGCATAATATTATGTTGCATTAGATGTACAGGGTGCTTGAATACTTTTTATTGTACTGCAAATTGTTCAAATGAAGCATGGTCTTCATATCATTGTTGGGAGTGTCCTGGAAACCAAATGGATTTATGGAAAGAAATTGGAATTGGTCATTTAGCACTAAAAGTTTTTTTGACCTGTACAACTACAATGGATAGAATTAAATTTAATGAAATGCAAAACTTAGTAACCAATTTTAATAAGTTGTCCATGGATGATTTGACAGTATATGGCATTGTAAGTGTCAGTGAATAAACTATACATGAAGAAATAGAACTCGTTATGTAATTCAAACAATTATAATTTTTACAGACAGCTATCATGCTTACTGTATATTTATTGGAGTATACTAACTTTTTTGAAAAATCTGATCTTAATGATTGCCTTGCAAGAAAGTTTTGTGATAACACTTTTAACTCCAATTTTAATATTGTAACAGATGATGATAAACAGCTTTATGTAAGTTCTTTACTTTTACGATATATTCTACAACTTATTTGTAATGGACATGCTGTTTCAAAATCAGACACATTGTTAAGTAAAAGTGATTCTTCTGTGGATCAACAAGACATTGTGGCCACTGGGATTTATCCATCTGCAAGTATGATGAATCATTCTTGTGATCCAAACATAATTAACATGTAATTTGTTACTTTACATCATATATTTAGATCACAATATTTTAATAACATATTACTAATAATATTGTACTTTAGATTTATGGATCAGTATCTGATTGTTAGAGCTTCAAAAGATATTGCCACAGATGAAGAAGTCTTCAATTGTTATGGTACAGTAACAGTTGTCTTCATATTAAACATATCTATTACTAAAACAGTACATATTTATGTTTACATTCTATCACTTACTATACATTGTTTTAATAGGCCCTCATTATAGACATATGTCAAGAGAACAAAGACAGAAAGTTTTGATGAGTCAATATTGTTTTATTTGTAGATGTGAACCTTGTATTCAACCAAATTTACAACATTTTTTGGTAAAGATACAAACAATCAATTTATTATTTCAGAAACGCTTCAACTGTTAATGCTGTATTATTTATGAATTACAGAAGAGGTTTAACGCCATGAGTTGCTTAAAATGTAATGGTGCATTGTGTAACATTAGCAATACTTTATGTTGTTTAGACTGTGGTGACCAACCCAGAAATTGTCAGATGAATAAAATAAAACAAGCAGAAACACTTTTTCAGACAGCCCAAACTTGCATTGATCTGGGAAAAATGGAAGAAGCTTTAAATAAATTAAAGAAATGTTTACATATTAGAAAGGCAATATTGTATAAATATAATGAAGATATTACATTTACTTTGAATCTCATGGAAGAAATCTATACTGCTAGGGGTTTGTGTAAATAAATTATTTATGTAAAATAATTATTAGTTTCTTCTATATGGCATAATAAAATTATTCCTCAGGTCGATTCGTGGACAGCATAGAATGTATAGAAAGTATAATTGATGCAGTTACAGAAAAATTTGGATATTCTAGTACAGAGTTTTTGAATGTATTAAATAAACTCACAGATCTATGTGCTAAGTATCTACAAAACGAATCAAATACTACCACAGACACTTACAAGTAACTCTTTTATTTTTTATACACAGTACATTCAAATTCATAGTAAATAATATTTGTTTTAATATTTTCATATTATAGAACTATATTAAGAAAAACATATAAATATCTGGACCAAGTAGAAGAGCTTGTAGATTTTAATTATGGATCATGGAGCAAAGTTTGTGAAAATATAAAAAAGAAACATCATAAAATTGCTTCCATTACTTAAAATATTGTACCATATTCATACATGTACATACCCAGATTGTAATATTAAAAATTTAAACAAATAAGTATATCTCATAAAAATATGTTACATTTATTTATTTCATACCTTCAATTATTTATATGTCAGCAAACAGGGACATCAAATTATTTGACAAAGATATTCTGTATATTAACAAATTAAACTTAGAGTACAGAGTTTATAAAAGAGTATTTGATATAAAGTATCTCACCAAAACCTCCTTTATTTTTAATGTTAAATAGTTCCAAAGGAGGAATACCTTGAAAGAAAAGTTTGTTTTTACAGTTATTATAGAAGAAAGCATGTATTTTTTCTAGTACATCTTACAGCAGATGTTAAAACGCATTCAAGTATGTCTGAGAGATGACCTTGAACCCAAAAAAGTGATTAGATTCTAATTAAGATGGTGTTGGAATTTTTAAATTTACCGCTTATGACAGATTATAAATTCTTAAATTAAAACAAACAACACAAGGTGTAACATGGTTTTATACATATATTATATGTATATACATGAAAATCTTTCCATTTTTCTCCAACGAAAGCCTATGGAAAAAACAGACTTTTTCCATGTATAGTTTTACTTCAATTGAACACAGCTTTATTCAAATTTGAAGCATCAACTTGATAAATTCTGCATTACACAGAATCAGTTCAAGATTTGTTTATGTTATTATATTTAGGTATGGACATGACGTTGCGTTCGTGACGCTGCTGGTGGTCAGTCGTCAGAGTACCACCTGAATTAAGTAGACGACCTATCATATTACATATCATGCCATGATTTATCATAGGTTTACGTAGGTGCACGAAAGTAGTTGTGACTGTACAGTGCAGGTGCGGACGTTGCACCATTTGTCGACGGACGTAATTATTGTGACTTTTAACGTGCTCCCCTTTTTCCGTGCCAAAAGGAACGTTACCGGGGTTACCGGCTACGCCAATTGCACGTTAGACTTAAACTGTTAGCGTTCGGTGCTGTGCGTGCTGAGTTGGCAGCGTTGGCAGTCTTGACGGCGACAACCGCGACAACTCTGTAACTGTACTGTATATCGGATGGTACCGTGAATTCAAAGTGGAATTTAGTAATGAATGTACTTAAACGATATACTTAAATATTATTACTTAATGAACTATGAGCGGGCAAAAATTTCAATATGACGAAAGTGGCGGGACATTTTTCTACTTTTTACTCTCGTTTCTGGCACTTCTCTTGATACCTGGGACGTACTATCTTTGGCCACGTTGTCCGAAGCAAGGTTAGACTTGGATAAATCTATTCGATTCAACATAGAAAATAAGTGACATTACGATACCGTATCATAATCGTGCATATTATACGTGAATTCGTATAGTTCCGTTGTTCTTTATTCCCCCTTCTGTGAACATGTAACTACTCCATAATGTTGTGACACTGTACTAATTACAAATTACGAGCACAATTGATGTGCTTTTAAGAGATTCAGAAATTGAGGAATATTTATGTCATTTTACAAGGATAATATTTTGTTTTTAATTTATACATTCGTTACCTATATTTTCTAATGTCTAGCATTAAATACAATACAATAAAATTGAAAGTAATGTATACTACAAATAATAATAATTTCTATTGATGAAATTATGGAAATTGTATGTTATCTTCAATAAATATGGATTCCAAAAAGTTTTGTAGAAGTTCTTCTTTCAACAATTTCAAAACAGAATGATTTGAAAAATTTATGAGCTTAATGTAATTAAATAAAATAAATTCTTATTTTGTTATTGATATGCACTTCTACATTTTTCTAGAGCATTAAATAATACATTCAATATTATTTATACTTTTTTTTCCCATTTAAAAGATTAATATTAGATACAATTATTAACTATAATTAGATCCAGATCAAGAGGCAAAAGAATGTCAATGCGATGGGTGTAAAAAGAAAAAAATTATCTTGCAACTTAATGAACCATGGAAAGAAACCAAAGCATTATTTAAGTGAGTTACATTTTGCTCAACATAACATATTCATCTAGAAGCTTTAGATGTTGTACCTAATACCATTATATTATTGTAGAAAGTTCCTTATTATTCTGGGATGGGTGATCCTTATATTTTTGGCATATAAAGTATCACAATTTGACTATGAAATGGCCAATTTTGATCCTTTTGAAATATTGGGAGTTTCTCCTGTAAGTATTAGAAATATGTTTAAGAAGAATTGTCTCTTTTACAATGCAATACATGTGTATTTATGATACTATAATTATTTGCAGGGTTCATCGCAAAGCGACATTAAAAGAGCTTATCGTAAACTTTCTTTGATTCTGCATCCAGATAAAGAAACTGGAAATGAGAAAGCATTTATGAAACTAACCAAAGGTTAATATTATGATAAAGTAACATAGATATTACCAACTACTAACAAATATGTGCTTATGTATCAGCAGTTGTATAACCCAATCAATTACTCTTGGTGGAAGAGATAGAGTAAGGTTGTAAAATTGACAAAAAGCTAAAGATCTGATGTTTTGGGTGGCCCTGCGACAAAAGAATCAACAAAAATATGATGTTTAAAGTGTTTTAGGCTGTACTTAAAATCATATGAAATTATCTAAATCCAAGTATTGTAAGTGCATTTGGAATTTATAGTTTCCCTGCTAGCAAAAGAATAGCAGTTAGTTATTATTATCTTTTTGACAGATTAAAAAGGAATATTGTATACTTCTTTACATTCTGTGACATCAATAGAACCTGCTTGTCAAGTGTCTACTTTACAACCATACTATATCATTTCTACCAACCATCTATATATATATAAATATATATATATATATATATTTTTCTTTCCATTAGTATTAATGACGTTATGTCAGTAATAATACCAGTAGATATTAATATGTTTAGTTGCCATTAAAAAATAATGATATTCACTTCTGTATTAATAGCTTATCAGGCTTTAACGGATGAGGAAGCACGAAGGAATTGGGAAAAGTATGGAAATCCAGATGGTCCTGGAGCAATGAGCTTTGGAATAGCTTTACCATCTTGGATTGTTGAAAAAGAAAATTCTGTATGGGTTTTGGGATTGTATTCATTGGTGTTTATGATTGCTTTACCAACAGTTGTTGGAATGTGGTGGTATAAGAGTATTCGTTATACTGATGATCAAGTAAATACAAATTGAAATTTGAGAAATAGTTTGATGTTAATCAAAGAAAAAATTTAACATACTTAACACTTACTCTTAGGTACTACTACAAACTTCTGAAATGCACTACTTTTTTTTCGTGAAAACACCTTCGATGTCGTTAAAAAGAGTCATCATGGTGCTTGCTGCTTCTTTTGAATTTTATAAAAGACGAAATCCAGAAATAGTTGAAAGGCACACAGATTATGAGGAAGTTTATTCGGTAAGACAGATGTGACAGTATTTTATTAACTTTTAATGTGTTTCACCATTGTAATTGCATTAAATGACATGCACTTTATTATACGTGGGTCATTTGAGAAGTTCTCAGATTGAAGTATAAACGACTTCAGTAGTTCTCAAATTTGTAGTGCATCAAAGATTTTCATTTGATATATGAATAAATAATATTTTGTATACAGCTGCTTGAACAAAAGTGCTTTTATGTCGTGTGATGCATCTCCCATCATTGAGCAGAAATTAATTTAAATGCAAGTTTGTCAGGAGTGTTTAGAAATTAGTTAGTTTGTTGGTTCAAATACATTGATATTAAAGGGGATTATTCAATACATTAAATAATAGAAATATTTTAAAAACGATACAAGTTGTTTTTTCAATCCACTCTTCTATATCTTTTCAAATGACTCATATAATTTGCTTTTTCTTGTATTAACAAGAGTATCTGTTATATTAATTCCGTTTTTAGGACTTTTTCAGTCAGAAATATAATTGTGTAATAAAACTTAATTCTAAACTTTTTAGCTGATTAAGCAGTTACCCCAGTTGGGGGTAAAAAACAAAGAAGAACCATTATGCAATTCGTATTCAATTAAAGCTAGAGCTTTACTTCATGCGCATTTATCTCGTATACCGCTAAATCCAGAAACTTTGGAGAAAGATAGGCAATACGTAGTAAAAAAATGTGCATACTTACTTCAAGAAATGGTCACTTGTGTCAACAGAGTGATTCTATTAGCTTATGCTAGAAGAGGTATGTATACATGCTTAAAAAAATTATAAGACACTCATTTTTATGAAATGATTCAAAATTCAAGATATATTAACAAACATAAATTTAAATACATTCTTTTTTTTTAGTTCCGCATTTACCCAGTATAAAAACTGTAGAAAATTGTATGAAACTGTGTCCTATGATAGTACAAGGTTTTTGGGAATTTAAAAATCCTCTTCTACAATTACCACATATAACTGAAGATAATTTAAAATGTTTCTTAGCAAAAAAGGTACGTTTAAATACTTATGTGACTGAAAACATTTTGTTTTTTTGTTTACATGATTAATAGTATTCTTCTCAGTGTGTCTTGATTAGAAATTTGTATACTAGTTAAATTTTATTTTATTAGCATCAAATCAGAAGTCTTCAACAATTTGCACAATTGAAAGGAGAAGAAAGAAGACTGATACTTAGAAATTTATCAGACAGTGATTATGAAGATGTTATGAAAGTTCTTGGAAGTATGCCGTACATAGACTTTAAAGTGCGATCTGAAGGTACAAACTGCATACTATAATATTTACAGCAGAAAACAATTTTTTCATTTTAACGTTTAAACATATTCTTACAATATATCAATGTATTTTGCAATTTTAGTAATTGATGATGAAAACCCCACGGTTTATACTGCTGGTGCTATTGTAACTGTGACAGTATCATTAACTCGCAAAGACATGAAACAGTTGTTTGGAGACGATACTGTCAAGGAACAAATAATGATTGAGGATAGTAAAGTAGGTAGTGGCGAAGGTGCCGAAGAACCGCCAGAAGAACAAAACCAAGTTGTAAAGAAGCCTGCATGGCTCAGACAAAAAAAAGGTCAAAAGAAGTCTCATAAGAAAGGTAGTAGTAAAAAGTCTGCTTCTGTAAAAAATGCTCAGTCACAATCCCAGTCTGGCAATGAGAATGCTCAACAAACAAATACTCCTAATGCAAAGAAAAAAGAAGATAAAGTAGAAAAAGAGTCTTCCAAAGATAAATTGTCCGATGTTAGTGACAGCGATATTGACAGCGACAGAAGTGATGACGAAGATAGTCATGATAAAAAAGATGTATCAGTCGATGATGATGATACAGAATGGGAAAGGTAATATTTTATTTGCAAACGGTATAACACGTATGCTAGAGAATATGCATTATTAAATGTCAATTTATTGATACTTGTATAAATAGGTTTCAACAAAGAATTTCAAAGAGAGAAAAAGTTTTGGAGGGAAGGAGCAATTTATCGCACGAAGTTCACTGTCCGCTCTTTCCAGATGTTAAACAAGAATATTGGTGGGTTTACATCTGTGATCGAAAGAGTCAGACTTTACTGACAACTCCTATTTTTGTCAAGTCATTAGCGCATTTTGAAGAAGTTCAGTTAAAGTTTACAGCACCACGGTGGCCAGGTGTTTATACATTTACTGTATGTTTACGTAGCGACTCTTATCTTGGCTTCGATCAAGCTCAAAATATTAAGGTACGCAAAATTATTCAAAAGCTTGCACACTGCGAATAAAAAGTTTATATAATGCAAGTCGTAACAATACTTGTCTTGCAGTTGGATGTGAAAGAAGCACCAGAAGTACCTACAGAACATCCCCAATGGGATATTTCAGACGAAGAAACTGCAGAAGATGTTGATGCAGCTGACGAACATTCCGAGTTCACAACTGATGAGGATATCAGTGACAATGAATAATATCTGTTTCTCAGGATTGAACCAATAGATATTCAAGACAGTCTTGTTTTTTCCTGTTTTTATTTTTTACTTCTGAAGTTAATGTACAATGAACTTTTATACGTGGAATTGCATAATCGTTGATGTATGTGGACAATCTAGGAAAATAGTATGGTGTGTAAGATTTCTCAGTGAAGAGAAAGTAATAGTAAATAAAAATCATAATATTTATTTTAACATTGTTGTTTAATCCTCAGTTTAGGATGTGTATACAATTTTTTAATAAAATATATCTTGAAAAACTGTTGTTTCCTTTCATGTTTTGAACAAAAAATACAAGTCTAAGTGAAAGTATAATGAAAACGTTGCAGTGTTACCTATTCAATCAACCATAAAATTTTTTGCTACGTTCGACGAATAAAGACTATTGATACTGCTCTAGTATAACAGTCAATGTTTCACTTCTGTTACAAACACCATAATGAATCTTAAACTGACAGACATCTATAGTGTGAGTATATTACAAGTAAAAATTGAACATAATATATCATATTTGCACAGATATAAATATTTATATTAAAAATCAATTTTGTTATAGATATTACGGAAATGTATTTTCATATATTTATATCTATATATCATATTCTGTGCTGTTTCTAATGCAGGTAAATTTATTGTTTTTTAACACTTTTTATAAGAAATCATCTTTTGCACATTTTTCGCGAACATAAATACTTAAATATTATATATATTTTTATTCAAACTTTTAAGTTTTAAAATAATTTCAAGATTTTATTGGTAATATAATCTCAAACCTAATTCTATACTTTTACATTTATAAAGTATTGTGTATGTAACTTAAAACTATAATTTAATTTTGAACTTAATTTCAGTGCAGTTATATTGTGATGTTGCTCTATGTTAATATGCATCTTTTACAGATCTTCTAAAATCGCCCAGAAAGATGAATAGATCGAAAAATGTAACAAATGGACCCACTTATACATTTCTTAAAACAGATAAACAAGCTAACATCAAATGGGGCGTGCGGCATTATATTCCAAGAGCATGAACGATATCAAAATAGATTACAAATATTAATCATGAAAGAAGTCTCAAAGAAATCATAAATATTAAATGAAGAATATAAAAATATATTTTAAAAAAGAAAATATGGAGAAACATATACATTACCGTTGTGGTAATTATGGTTCCAGACTAACCATTTCCATGTATCTCTTTTGTATTTCAATCAAAAGATTATCTAACCTAATGAGACAAAAAAGTGCTATATCATTTATTGCCTGTTATGCTTACTGTAAAAAAAGTATATTGTATTGTAATAAAACTTGCAAGTAAAACACTTACGTGTAACGTATCACTAAATTATCATATATCACATTGTCTACATCTGCAATTTCATAACATGTAACAGCAGACGTATTCGAAGGTTGATTATCACGAAATTTAATTGGCATCTCCTTACTATCACTATTTGTTGAAGTATTTGCAGTTTCGCTATACACGTCAACAGGCATATTAATCTTCTCGTTAGGTACACTGTATACGTGATTCATATTAAATTGCATTATACTTTGAAATTCTTCACGATATACTATTGTCATAGCAATAACTGAATCAAAAATCCTTTCCAATGTTAAAAGTACAACTTCCAATTTTTCTGTTTGCCTAAAAGAATTAATTATTATACTGTGACCCAAATTAATGAGAAATAAATACATAAAACTATAGATTCACAAATACACATACTTTATAATCCCAGAAATATTTTTACACTCAAATAGTGCCTCCTTTGTCTTTAAAAATTTAAAAATTAGTTTCACCATTTCAGTTGGTTTTGCAGTTTTATGAAAATACTCTTTTTTATGTAGTTCATAAATGTCTTTTGCTTCGCAGTATCTGTATGAAATGGAAGTCTACATTTAATTCCTTAGTAATATATTTGAAATTTCATAAAAGCACATTTACTTACAATTCAAATAAATCCTTAATACAATCAATACTCTGTGCTTTACTTTCTAGTTCATTGCTTTCTTCTATTAATGGATCAAATTTTAATTTTATCTGATCGGTAGCTCTCACAAGTTTTGTTACTTTCTCAAAATTAATTTTCAAACGATCCATCTTTTCTGTACTTATACACTCCTTTTCCCATTTGATACGAAGTGTGGACAATTCTTTCACAAGACTGTTTATATTTGTCACTGAATTTTCTATATTTTTATTAAATATATTTATCCTTGAAATTACCAAGTCTCTGAAAATTTACATTACTGCATTTGTATAATTACGTTTTCATTAATAAAATAATAACTAATTTTGAAGAAAGGGAAGATTAAACGATTTTAGAAAAGAAAAATATATAAAATACATACACTTTTATAGTCAAAGCAAAAATGTACAGTTGACACATATATAATTCTTGTTTGATAAAAAATATTGCGTTACGATAATAATCCATTAATGTGTCAAAATCCAATTGACTTTTTGATAATTCTATCATTTTCTGTATTGATACTGGAATATCTGTTGTGGGTATATTGTTCATCAAAGTGCTTTCATTCTTGAAGACAAATAAAACTGGATCCTAAGAGAAAATTATTAACTTGAATTAAACACAGAATATCAAGCAAGAGTTGATTCGAAATACATTTACTGCTTCAAAAAAATATATTTTATATTATACCTGAATTTGTGATAAAAGTGGTGTCTCATTCGCAATGAGAATTTTACCAAGGTAATTTGTTAAAATTTGTTGATTTATTGATATATTAGTATCTTTTTCAATCATAGTTTGTATATCTGTGACAGTGGTAGTACCACTTACTTCATATGCATTAAGTTTAGATGTTGATGCAGAAAATACATATACTACCTAGAAAATAAGAAACATATGTAGTAATTTAAAAAAATTGAAACGGTAATGTACTGCAAAATATTTAAAGATAAAACAAAGAATTAGAATGCTCATGTAAAAGTGTATTTTATAAATATATAGACGGACTTTTTAAGTTGAACAGTATTTGAATAAACTTACTTAATAATCGTCACATGTAACAACAAATTTTATTAGATAATTTGTAAAGACATATACCTCTTTAGACAAAATGGAATGAAGTAATTTAAACACCACCAATTGCATTACTCCATTTTCATCATACTGCTTTCCCCTCTTTTTTGAATCCCATTGTAATACCACTCTAAACCATTCTATCAGTTTGTTTCTTAGACATCTAATAAACAACATGGTAAGCTTAAGCTACTCGTTTATTACATTTCAGTTCGCTAAAACATTTTTATAGTTTTTACCGTGATAAATTGGTGGGATCAACAATATCTTCACCAAAAATTATTTTTCCTTCCGATTCAAAGGCACAAATATCGTTGTATCCTTTATTTTGAATATGTTTCATCCTGTATAATTATCAATCATATTATAATAGGTAAATGCTTGCATATTATCTTGGTTATAAGATCATAACTATATATACCATATTATAGTATGCTTCATCCTTGGCAAAAATGGTCTTATACCACTAACAAGTTCATAAAACAAAATGCCCAAACTCCAATAATCTACAGAACAACTATATTTCTGTTTCCAAAGAAGTTCTGGGGCTACATAATTTAATGTACCCACTACAGAAGCAGATGCACTGGCTTCACCAAGTTCTTTTGCATATCCAAGATCTATTAATTTATATGAAATCTAAAAGATATTTTCTATGTATATGTAAAGCTTTATACAGAAAGTACTATATTGCTTACTTTATCACGTTCATCTTGCAAAACTATGTTTTCTGGTTTTAAATCACGATGCGTAATGTTGTTGAAGTGTAAATATTCAACTGCAGAAGAAATATCCTTCATTACAGCAATTGATTCTTTTTCACTTACTCCACAACAATTATCTACTTTATTTAGAACCTATAATTTATGAAATATTCACAATAGGAGTACATACCCTATCAATTTCATCAAATAAAAAAAATTTATTATGCTTTTAAAAAGTACCTTTCTAAGATCACCTTTCCTGCAAAATTCCATACATAATATTGGTAAATCTACTGTTTCATTGGGATGTCTAAAAGGTAACTCTAAACCTTTTATAATATTCGAATGTTTTAATTGCTTCATTTTCTGGACTTCATTAATCCATCTTTTTTGTTGCGTTTCTGTTAACTGCGATACATCCCATTTACATTTTTTAATTGCTAGAATTGTAAAAACAAGGAATTATATTTCATTTATATAGTATGATAAAATTTCGAAAATATTTCAGTGTACATCAATGCTAGTTAGTAAAGTAATATACATACCAAGTTTATTACCACTTGTATGTGTCCATAATTCAACAATACCAAATCCTCCTGAACCAAGAACTTTACTAAAAGTCCATCCATTAATAACGTCAGATGTATTGTTCATGATAAATGTGTTTATTGACAAATATTTAAGTTACAAACAAGTAACTTTCAGACAGCTTAAGTTAAATTACAAAGTTTAAAGTATTAGGAAACGTTATATTTTATTCTTTTATTGCAAGCACTAGTGTAGCGAGAGACAAATTATTTTCCCGTAAGTAACCTGCATCACAATCTCTGTGACGTTTATGACGTGTTTGTTTATTCAATGAATACAAATGTGTTGTATCATGTATATGCAACATGACATGCATGTGTATGTTTAGATGTGACTTATGTGGATCCATAAAGTATAAAGGCATAAAGTAACAAAACGTGTCAACACAAGGGTCTATAATGCATTTAGAAATAATAAGCCTACAATCCTAAATATGCAATGTTCATTCACAGTGGCAATAAACTTGGTTAATATAAAATACATGACTTGTTCAGGGACGTGTATGGTACCATGCGCCACGAATAGAATACTTATTCGGTGGAAAAGAACATTTGGCGAGAAATGTTGCTTGATTTTTATACTATTTATTAAGAAAAGAAATAATTTTACCAAAATATGGAGCGATTTAAATATACATGAACTTAATATGACGTCTTACTTGATAGAATTGAAATATGTTATCATATATATGTGAGTAGTAAGTACAAGGCGCTTATCAATGCTTATCTTTGGGTTTATTCGGTTTATTGCAAGCAGGTACGCTTTTAACCGATGATACGACCAGATGAAAGACAAATGGATCAATGAAAAGTCAATCATCTGACCAGCTAACCCACTATATTTATATATATTTGTATTTTGAATGTGAAATGCAATCATAATGCAATCGTACATATAAATAATAAAGATCGAATCCATTTCACACCAAATTTTTGTTATGCCTACCTAAGAAAACGTTTATGCATAATATCTGTACTAATCTGTCATTTTGTTTATTACGCCTAATTATTGATATGTATTATTAATATATATAAGTTAATATTTCTATAAGTTGACATTTTCAAATATACTTCATTACTCTAATCTGTTTTTAAGGATTTAGAAATTTTAACTTTAAATTACATATTTACATCATTAATTTGCAACTTGTATAAATATCATTATTCAAATTGATGTTATCTGATGTTATATATTACAATGTAACAGTTGTGTAAAATATAAGCACGTATATTGCGTTTGATTTGATATAATCTATACGTAATTCGAAGAAATAACAATTTTGTAAAGGATGGCGCTTTAGCCAGTCCGGTTTTTGAAGAAATATGGCGGATGTTGAGGTGAGTTTGTCACGTTGCACTTGAGAAACCGTATTATTGTCTCATAATTACTGATTATTAACCACTGGTTTTGTTGCAGTTAGCGAAAGCATTGAAAGATCTGCCAAATCGTATTCAAACCGCTAGCAAAACCGAGCGGCGAGAGATTCTGCAAAATGTCGTCAATGTGTTGTCAAACCCTGGTAAGGACTGATAATAGATAAATTTTTGATAAAAAATGATCTTTCTTTTGATTCAAAGTATTTTCACATGTACATGGGAGATAATGATTTTTCTCATAAATATTCACTAATCACACATAAAAAGAAATCGTCTCTAACACAGTTCAAGTTAGATGAATATACAATACTGTTTTTTTCAATTGCATAGATTTCAATTTCTACCGTCCCTATATAGAAAATTTGTATATCCTTAGTGTTTGAAAATTTAAATATCAATTATGGAAAGTCTTCAATGTCATAAAACGACATTTACTACATGAACCTTAATAGAAATTAAATCACTTATGTATTACCTGTTACACAATAAACTATTTGTTAAAGATTTGTTTTAGTAATATATACAATTCATATGTTATTATTGAATTATTATTGAATAATTTTCTTTACATTTAATATTTAATATTATTTACATAAGTAAAACATGGTCTTGAAGTTAAATGTTAAAATCATATTAGAAAATAAGGGAATCAGAAGGATATTGTATTTGAATTTTTAAATAATCCCTTATAATGTACTACATAATCTTATGTAGAACACATGTTAATAACAGTAGAAACATCATAATTTGAAATATGATGCAATATATGTTTATCTTTATATTTGCATGAATGTTAAATAGTCAAGCTTAAAATGTGATCATTCCATTTAAAACAATGTTATTTTGATATTTTAGGCATCAGTGACAAGATTGTCAATGGAATTTGCAAAACCTTGTCTCTTACATTACATCGATATAAGGATACAGGTTCCCAATCTTACGTGAAAAATGTAATTGTGGAATTATTACAAAAGCAATCAGAAACTGCAGTAAAGCACATGACAAATGTGATAGTAGAACAGGCTACATGGCATACAACTGTAGTTCCTACGTATGTATTTTGTGTATGAATGTTTTACAGTGTATATATACTTTGAACATTTATAAGTTTTTACTTAATAAACTTTATTAAAAAATGTTATTTTGTAGATTAAATACTGCTTTAACTGCATATCTTGCGTTAAAGTGGTCCACATTAATTATTTTACATGGGTATAAAAACAATGCAGGCATTAATACAGATTTACCAAAATTGATTGTGGCACAAGCTGATTTAAGTGCAGCAGCTTTGGCATCCAGGAATAAGAAACTAGTAGAAAAAGTATATACATTATTGGCATATCAGTGGTCAAGTATTAAAGACATAGAAACAGCATACGTAGAAACACTGGCTAAATTGGAAGTTAGTAATGGTGTAATTGTTCTTGCTAGTTTACTTACTAAATACTTAGTAAATGCCAAGAAAACTGAACTGGTGGGAAAATTGAAGGTAAATTTATTTAGTATTAAATTGATATTTCGACTTGCTGTATAAGTAACATAAGTAGTATAACAAACGGTTGATTTTATTTTACAGGCAAACATTATAGACGGTTTTATAAAAGTTACTATTAGTTGCAAGAAAAAACCAGATCTATACGTTGTTAATACTGCTGTACCTCTTCTGCGTAGAATAACTCACGACGAATTCAAGAGTCAATTACTCCCAGCTTTGCAAAAAGCTATGTTAAGGAATCCAGAAATTATTATTGAATCTGTTGGTCACATTCTCAGTGGTTTAAGTCTCGACTTGAGTCAGTATAGCCAAGAAATAAGTAAAGGATTGTTTGCGAATTTGCATTCTAAAGAAGATTTAGTTAGAGAGGAGGCAGTTGGAGCTTGTCGTAGACTTGCTCTACAATGTTCAGATACTACTGCTTTGGAAAATTTACTGACATCTGTATTTGCTGTATTCCATGGATCAGAAGGAAAGCTCACTGTTACAACACACAAGATTTCTGTTTTACAAGGTGCTGGTAATCTTAGTTACAACGCAGCCTCGGGCAACAGTGTACAAAGATTGGCTGAAACAGCTTGTGAACACTTCATAAAAGTTTTGGAAACCGAAGTTCATGAGAAAACTTTAATTCATGCTCTTGAAATGATGGCTTTATGGTCCATCAAATTTGTAATTTATGTTCCGAAAAGTGTAATAGATGCATTTAAAGAAGGAATGGGTGCCAAGACATCCACTCCCGCTGTGCGTACTGCTTACATTAAACTCTTCTTTTCCGCGCCTGTAACTTCTTATTCTGGAACAATAACGCCAGTACTCATACAATCAATAATGAGAGCTACACAGCAAAGTACACAACCAGCCGCAGTTACAGAAGGTTTAGTAGCTGCTCATTTGCTACTGAAATTTGTCCTTGCCAATCAAGTGGAGAATGATAAACAGAACATATTGTGGAATGCCATTAATGACCAAATATTCTTTTCAGAAAAATTTTTAACAACATGCGGGGACGATATTTTGTATCATCTTATGCTACTTTGTGAAAGACTTATTACAGAATTTGCTGACAGATTAAATGAAAAAGCTCTGAGTGGTGTCTACAAAGCGGTTGTAATTTGCGCGACAGCTCCGAAGTCTAACATTCGAAAACGCTGTTTTCCATTTGTGAAAAAAATTGTCACCGGTTTAAATAGTAACACACCCTCGCAAGAATTATTAATGGAATATGATAAATTTTTAGAAAATGTAAAAATGAAGTCAGAAACTGATAAAGATAATAAAGACGATTCTTCTACTGGCGAAATAACTGGCAGGTGTCTTGCGGATGGATTACTTGCTATTTGTTCAGGTTCCTTTTTGTTTGAATTACCGGCTATGCAAATGACAAGGGATGCATTGATACCGTCGCATCACCCTGCGATATGTAAGGCGATGCCAAACCTGTGGTTTAAAATTGCGAAAAATTATAATCTTGTACCAAAAGATTTTTTATGCTCTTTTAATGGTGAAATAAAAAAATTACTGGTGCAAAATTTCAAACCTGTTGCTAGTTATGAAAATGCGTTAATAAGAGTGGTATCGATTGTACCAGAGATTATATTACCTACATTAGTATCAAATGTTACAAGTAAGCTCGATGACCCTGAGATTTTAAAAGTAACTAAAGATGAATATTTTACATACCTCACTCCAGAAGGAGAGTTGTATGACAAGAGTGCATTGCCAGTAATTGATGAAAATGATATTCTGAACTCAATGAATATGAAAAGAGAGAGCAAAGCATATTCATTTAAAGAACAGCAAGAAGAGCTTCAACTTAGACGGGAATTGTATGAAAAAAAGAAGAAGGAGGGGAAAATAAAGGAGCCAAAATTAACACCTAAACAAGAAGAAATTCTTAAAGTACAAATGGCAAAAGAAACAGCAATTCGTAAAAAACTGACTGAATTGAAAAGTAGAATAGACAATGTTGTATCTCTGGTTACATGTTCAGTTAAAGGAAACGGACAAGAAGTCTCTTTGTATTTGAAAGATCTTTTGCCGCCAATATTAAAAAATTTGAAATCACCATTGGCAGCTCCTGCAATGTCCGATCTATTTATTCGCTTGAAAAGTACAGTGAAGATCGGCAGTAATCCAACGTTAAGTGATTTAGTGTCACATGTTACGTTACGTCAATTACAACCACAGTGCGACTTAGACCAAGCTTGGGAAGAAGAACACCTGGATACAGCTGTAAAGAGAACATTAAATCTTTTACACACGATTACGATAAAACAAAGGAAATTATTCACAGCTCCTGCCTTTTGCTACATTTTTCCATTTATAAAGAAAACATTGTTATCTTATAAAGATGATGGTATGATTGTACAAGGACTACAGATAATACAGGAACATGCCAAACAGAGAGAAAATTCTTCTGATTTAAGAGGTATGAGGCATCCTCGAATACTTCCACGTAAACATATATTCGATCTGTTAATCGAAATGATGGAAATAACAACTGGAAGAGTACAAACGCATGCTGTTGCAACCTTAATAGATGTTGCTCAGTCTGGTAGTGGCCAACCAGGTACTACATTAGCAACTAACGAGGACATAGATTCTTTAATTGGAGCTTTACAAAATTCTTTACCTACAATAAGAGATGCAGCCCTAAGAGCCTTATCAGTCGTAAAAGATGCTTTTCCACCTCAAAAGGAAGAACCTATAAAATTATTTCACATTATTAGAAGAATATGGGTCGCCAGGTTTGATTTTTGCGATGAAAATAAAATTCTGGCTCATGAATTATGGCATTCAGCAAATTTAGTAGCGCGTGCAGATGTTCTTGCGCATGAACTTATTCAGGATATCGAACACCCTGTTGAACCTATACAGCAAGCTGCTGCTTGTGCTTTGGCACAGTGTTTGAATAACGTCCCCAATTTGGTACCATCAACATTGGATAGTTTATTGCAACTTTATCAAGATAAATTAGCTATGATTCCACCGAAATTAAACGATTTTGGTCGCGTGGTTGAGCAACCAATTGATACTTGGGGTCCTCGACGAGGTGTTGCACTTGCATTGGCTCAGTTGGCACCTCTTCTTACCGCTGAAACAGTACTTAAACTTGTGCAATTCTTTGTTTCGACCGGCTTAGGCGATAGAAATCATGCTGTTCGCACGGAAATGTTAACTGCTGCTGTAGCTGTTGTTGATCTTCAGGGCAAAGTAAACATAACGTTTTTATTGCCCATTTTTGAAGCATTCATGGACAAAGCCCCAAAGATTGGCAGTTTTGATTCAATCAAACAATCGGTGGTTATTCTTATGGGATCGTTAGCAAGGCACTTGGATAAAGATGATCCTCGTATTAAACCAATAGTTATGCGTTTGATCGCGGCTCTTTCTACTCCATCACAACAAGTCCAAGAGGCTGTGGCCAATTGTTTGCCGCATCTTGTGCCGTCCATCAAGGAAGACGCCCCAAAAATTGTGGACAATTTAATAGATCAGTTATTAAAGTCGGACAAATACGGTGAGCGTAAAGGTGCAGCTTATGGTTTGGCAGGTATAATCAAGGGTATGGGAATACTTGCCTTAAAACAGCTTGATATTATGACCACATTAACTAATGCCATTCAGGATAAGAAAAACTATAGGCATCGAGAAGGAGCATTGTTCGCATTTGAAATGTTGTGTACAATGCTTGGCAGATTGTTTGAACCTTATATTGTTCATGTACTACCGCATTTGCTGTTGTGTTTCGGAGATTCAAGTCAGTATGTGAGAGCCGCTACCGACGATACAGCTCGAGTAGTTATGAGTAAACTTTCTGCACATGGAGTGAAACTTGTTCTTCCGAGTTTACTAGCGGCATTAGAAGAAGACTCATGGAGAACTAAAACTGGTGGGTGATTTGTAATTATTAATATTGCTCAACGTACCAATTGTATTTTAAAAGTAACGTAATTTTTTTTATTCTTTAAGGATCTGTCGAATTGTTGGGTGCAATGGCATATTGTGCTCCAAAGCAACTAAGCAGTTGTTTACCAAGCATAGTTCCAAAACTCATTGAAGTACTTAGTGATTCACATACTAAAGTTCAAGAGGCTGGTGCAGAGGCTCTTAAAGTTATTGGAAGTGTAATTCGTAATCCAGAGATTCAAGCTATTGTGCCAGTCTTGTTGAAAGCTTTACAAGATCCATCCCATAAAACAGCAACTTGTCTCCAAACGTTATTGGATACACAATTTGTGCATTTTATCGATGCTCCGTCATTGGCTCTTATTATGCCTGTGGTGCAAAGAGCATTTTTAGATCGTTCTACAGAAACAAGGAAAATGGCTGCGCAAATCATCGGAAATATGTATTCATTAACTGATCAGAAAGATTTATCTCCGTATCTGCCAACCATTATTCCTGGCTTAAAGACGAGTTTATTGGATCCTGTACCAGAAGTGCGAAGTGTGTCCGCAAGAGCATTGGGTGCCATGGTACGGGGAATGGGTGAATCCAGTTTCGAAGATTTGCTTCCTTGGTTAATGCAAACACTTACATCTGAAACAAGTAGCGTAGATAGATCTGGTGCCGCACAAGGTCTTTCAGAAGTTGTAAGAGGACTCGGCGTTGAGAAACTTCACAAACTTATGCCCGAGATTATTAGTACAGCTGAAAGAACGGATATAGCCCCCCATGTTAAGGATGGTTACATTATGATGTTCATTTACATGCCCAGTGCGTTTACAACAGAATTTACACCTTACATCGGACAGATCATTAATCCTATATTGAAAGCTCTGGCTGATGAAAACGAATATGTACGTGAAACTGCGCTTAGAGCAGGTCAGCGCATTGTTACTCTTTATGCCGACTCTGCGATTATGTTACTGTTACCGGAATTGGAGAAGGGTCTTTTTGATGATAATTGGCGTATTAGGTATTCATCGGTGCAATTACTTGGAGATTTACTGTATCGAATTTCCGGTGTTTCGGGAAAAATGTCAACAGAAACAGCTAGTGAAGATGATAATTTCGGAACCGAACAGTCGCATTACGCCATTATTAATGCTCTTGGCGCGGAAAGACGGAATCGTGTTTTGGCTGGATTATACATGGGTAGATCAGATGTAGCATTAATGGTACGTCAAGCTGCTCTTCATGTATGGAAAGTGGTTGTAACGAATACTCCAAGAACATTGAGGGAAATATTACCGACACTTTTTACACTTTTGCTTGGTTGTTTGGCTAGTACAAGTTATGATAAAAGACAAGTGGCAGCGCGCACATTAGGAGATCTTGTTAGAAAATTAGGCGAAAGGGTATTGCCAGAGATTATACCTATTTTAGAAAAGGGCCTTCAAAGCGACCAAGCCGATCAACGTCAAGGTGTATGTATTGGATTGTCTGAAATTATGGCAAGCAGAAATAAAGATACAGTGTTAAATTTTGTGATCAGTTTGGTTCCAACAGTGAGGTAAGTGATTTTATTTTTACGTAAAATAAACATTAAAACTATAATTTAAGTAATTAATCAGCGAATGATAATATTATTTATTTTAGAAAAGCGTTGTGTGATCCTTTACCGGAAGTTCGACAGGCAGCAGCAAAAACTTTTGACGGTTTACATTCAACTGTGGGTGTTAGAGCATTAGACGACATACTACCAGCAATGTTAACGCAATTGAACTCATCAGATCCAGCGGAAGCAGAAAATACGTTAGACGGTTTGCGTCAAGTAATGGCGATCAAATCTCGAGTTGTTCTGCCATATCTAGTACCTCAATTAACAACTCCTCCGGTTAATACAAAAGCATTATCAATTCTGGCGAGTGTTGCGGGTGAAGCATTGACAAGGTTTCTCCACAAAATTCTGCCAGCTTTATTAACTGCTCTCTCCAGTGCTCAAGGAACACCTAATGAAGTTCAAGAATTAGAATACTGCCAAGCGGTCATTTTATCTGTTACCGATGAAGTTGGTGTTCGGACGGTAATGGATCAATTAATGGAGGCTACTAGAGCAGAAGATCCATCCAGACGACGAAGTGCTGCCACTTTACTGTGTGCTTTTTGCCGAGATACACGCGCAGATTATAGTCAGTATGTCCCTCAGTTATTACGAGGTCTTATTCATTTGTTCACGGATGATGACAAAGATGTACTGCAAATGAGTTGGGAAGCACTTACAGCTGTTACTAAGGTTTCTAAAAGTCATTATTTTAGGTATAATTTTTAATTAATGTTATCGATATCAATGTTCGACGTTTATTTTTAGACTCTATCATCACATCAACAGATCGCTCATGTACAAGACATTAGACAGGCCGTTCGGTTTGCAGTATCTGATTTAAAGGGGCAAGAATTATTACCCGGATTTTGTTTACCGAAAGGAATTACACCAATTCTTCCAGTATTCAGGGAAGCCATATTAAATGGCTTGCCGGAAGCAAAAGAGCAGGCTGCTCAAGGACTAGGTGAAGTTATAAAATTAACTAGCCCATCGGCGTTGCAACCAAGCGTTGTACATATTACTGGACCGTTAATTCGAATTCTTGGAGATCGTTTCAATTGGAGCGTTAAAGCAGCTGTTTTGGAGACACTTGCAATATTGCTTGGCAAAGTAAGTTAGTCACATAATAATATAAGAGAATGTAAAAAGATGATAACAGTGCAATATTGTTAGGTCGGAGTAATGTTAAAACAATTTTTACCGCAACTGCAAACCACTTTCTTGAGAGCATTGAATGACAGTAACAGACAGGTGAGGTTGAAAGCTGCCTATGCTTTGAGCAATCTTATTGTAATCCATACACGTCATTTCAAATAAAATTTTGTTGTTCAGGGAAACAATGTTACAAGCTTTACGAGGTGTACTGACACCTGCTGGTGACAAAATGACAGAACCGATGAAGAAACAGGTATTTGCTACTTTAACTAGCATGCTAGGCCATTCGGAAGATGTTACGAGAAACGCAGTGGCTGGCTGTTTCGGAGCGCTGATACGATGGCTTAGCCCAGACCAACTTGCCGTTGCATTTAATGATCATTTATTATGTAAGTTTTTCAAACGTCTCTTCTTATTTGAAAATTACAAATTTACGTTTATTGTCCACCTTCTATTTAAAGCTTTGCAAATGAAATATCCAGTCGTGAACAATTGTTTATTTACTCTAACAAGTTTTTTTCGTAAATTTTAACCTTCAATTTATGTAGTTTCCTTTTAGTATCATTTAAATTATAGGTAATGACGCTAGTGTTGACTGGATGCTCAGACATGGACGTTCCGTGGCGTTATTCGTCGCGCTAAAGGAATCACCAACAACAGTATATAATGGTAAAGAGAAGGATCGTGTCTGTGCTATTATACTTTCGTATTTAGCGGCGGATCGAGTACAAATAGTTATGAATGGTATACGAGCTTGTGGTTATTTGTTCCAATATCTTGTGAATGAAGGACAACCTATACCTCAACAAATCTTATCGCCTTTTGTGAGGGTAAGAATATTTAACGAATTATTAAACGTTAATATTTTAGAAATGCTCGTTTTGATTTTTTGGATAATTAATTTTCATATGAAATTGATTATAGTCTATGAACAATAATAGCAATGATGTGAAGCAATTATTGGCCAGAGTTTGCATTCATCTGGCTCGTAACATACAACCTGAAAAGATGTCACCAGAATTACTTAAGTCACTTTTACCAATGTTGGTAAATGGTACGAAAGAGAAAAATGGTTACGTAAAAGCCAACAGCGAACTTGCTCTGATTGCAGTTCTTAGACTGAGACAAGGTGAAGAAGAATATCTGGTAAGTGGGATCTTTAAAGAGATTTCGAAGTTTAAACAGAGTTGTTATTTTCGTTTCTCTTATCGGAATATACATACTTTACAGCGTTGTATGACCTTCTTGGACGCCGGCGCAAGAGAATCTTTATCGGATGTTGTCAGCAAAGTGTTGCGCAAAGTTCTTTCGCAGTCCGAAGGCAAAATGGAAGAATTAGACGATACTTTACTCACATGAGAGATATTGTACGTCTTGGGGCTCATTACATGCTGCACTCGTTCTAATAATAATACTATCCATCAATATTCAATCGATTTTTATAAAGCGACTTACTGTTCGTGTACTAGTTACATTATAAAACAATTAGATCACTCAACATTGTATCTCGATAATCAATTAAATAACGTAAAACGTTACAATCACTCGGTGGAATTCAAATTACTTAAACTAAGGTGTCCCGCATACCAAATAGTTCGAATCGTAACTGTAGATACTTCTGTGCAAAATGTTTTGTATGATTGTCTTATTAATGATATGATTGTACACAGTTTAATTGTCATTGTACTACAGTTGTCCCAAGAAAAGCACGTATATGTAAACGGAACAATAGAAAGTAATAACGCAGAAGAACGTAACCAATTTAAACATCAGAATCACAAAGATGATTTAAGAAACGAAGCAAACTTCAATAATAGTGCACATTTACCATACATTCTTTTCGTACGCGATGTCCTTTTGTATGTTCAGCAAGTATTACGATGGAAAATAAATTATTATGTTCATACAGATTTGCCAACATTTTTAAGCGGAATCACACGGACGTTAGATGTTTTATGAGAAATGAACGCTGACCTGTTGTTAATTTGAAAAGTAGCGGACTAAGCAAAATGTTCACTCGCCGTCGAAGATTCTAATAGTGAGACGATCTATTGTCGTATAAACGCGATGCGCTGTCTTGTATTGTAGTTATATACATCGGTATATAGTTTATGTTTTAGAATTACGTGTAGAGATTATTAAGTCGGCTTAAGCCGTACCACACTGACGCGATACTTCTAGATCTGCCATCAAAGCGTCTGCGACCTCGATTGTAACTCGGTTTCGACACGAAACCTATCTGTTCAATTCGTTCAATCACTGTTCATAATACATGACTATATGCATTATGTATATACTTCCTCTTATACGTTATAATTTATCGAGAAAATGTACACGTAGGTACTTTGTACTTTTCTATGTAAGATTTCGAATGCTGGATAAACACCTGCTCTTACAACATCAAGTCGGATCTTTTGTATTTTTTGTTTCCTGTACGTCTTAAAAAATACTGTTTATCGTAAAATTACTGTTAACCGTAATTCATCGAGAGTACAAGGATAAAGTAAAACAATGGTAGCAAACCATACATCATGTGCGAAACGGATTGGATCTACCATTGTTGATTGAGCAGTATTTTTGCAATAAAAATATCTCAAAACCCCCAACAAATATCTATTAATTCCGTGAGATAGTTTGAATGTCATACATCTCGATTTTGTAACAATATATTTATTAACGTTCCGTGTAAGGCGCCAACAGACGATTATATGATGGACCAGAAGTAACGCGCAATCGTTGCATTTTAGGCGGAAGGAATCACATCTTGTAAGCGACCTGGTCGCGTTTTGTTGTTCCTCTGACTTTTTGAGCCCCGAGATTCGTCACGTGAACGTATCGGATTACACGTGCAAAGGACGATCCATGTTTTATTTATATAAATTGCCACGCAATCATATGCCATGGATTCGCTCGTTTCGATGACCAACATATTCCGCTACTGCTCGCTTAAGACTGAACCGTTCCATCCGTGGCCGTAACGAGAGCCAACTGCCACTGACGATTTTTTACTTTTATGATGGTCAACGGATCGATTTCCTATCTGTACCTGTCGCAAAAATCATCATTTTTGTTTTTGTATCCGACGCCTTTGTTCGTTTAGTTTTACTACTGGGTACTTTTAATATTTAATCGCAAGTATATTTTAATTAATAGCTTTAATAGAAATCACTTTCTTCCCTTCGTATAGTTAACGAGAGTATTATGATACTTAAGATGTAACAACATTGTACGAGTCACGTAGGTTTACTGTTCAGTTTTTGTAACTTCTTACAAGTTGTTTTCTGTTTCTCCGCCATACCAACTGGTTGTCCGTTTCGAGAAACAGAGACTGTGAAATTTTTAGATTTGTCCGAAGACGTGAGAAATTAAAGTGTGGGGTAATTAAACAGTATGGTGGGTATAGATCGTCGTTAATCTTGAGCTGTCAATTGAAAATACAAGAGAATTCATACAGCAAACGTATCGTAAATAAATATATATATATATATACATATAATTTGAAATATTTAAGTAATCTGACGGTAAACTTGACGATGCTTATATGTTTTAGGGCCGATTGAAAAGGTTGTGTTCTGGAGGTAAAACAATGGCCCAGCGTGTAAAATTTATTTATCGCATCTGAATAATGATTTTATGTTTGTTAATTGTGTATACATGAATGTACGTGATACAAATAGAACAATGCACTAAAAAAGTATATTCATTCATTATCGTAGTTGAAAAATGAAGTTTCTAACTAGGATGCGCTTTTTGAAATGCACTTACAAGGAACATCACCCAATCGACAATCCTCGATTTTGTTTAAATATGGCACAGAGGTAGAGTATCGAAAAATATTATACACGTATGTTTTTAATTGGCAGATATTCATGTGGTGAAAATAGCCCCCCCCCCTCCCCCAGATTTCTGGATGACAAAACCTATTGTATTAAATATTTCAAAAACTAATAAAGATAGAAAAAAAATATTAAACAGGGGCAACTATTTGGTGTGTATGTGGCTCGAGCGAAAACTTCAAGTCATAGATGGCACTATCATAGTCAATTGCATAATAGGTTCTTTTATGTACATAAATAATTCCTGAAAAATAAATTCTTTTGAGTTGAAAATCAGCCAATGTAGCAATGTAAGCAATGGATAGTACTGATAAACGAACGTATTTTACCAATAGTTAGATTTTCTCAATAACAATAAAATATATATATACATATATGTCGCTTCAGCGTTCATGCATACATATAGCACAGTTTTTGACGAATCAATTTGTAACATTTCTAAAATTTCAGCTAGAAAGTAATTTACCATGATCTAGTTGATGATATTACATGAAAATTTAATTCACGCTTTTTCCTAAGTTTCTCGGAACTACACTGCGTCCACCGTTTGATTTATGTTTGTATCTAATTATAAGATAAAATTAATTTTCTTAAGTTATTTCTAAAATATAATTCACAAAATATTTACAACAACAAGTTGTTTTAATTAATGCATAATTAACTCTTCTAAATAATACAATAGTAATTATGAAATATTATTAGTTCCCTTATTTAGGGACACAGTTTCTTCACAGTTGTGTCTCCTTTGATTTTCTGCTGCCTTCCTTGTGCAAAGTAACTGTTTGGTTGCCTCTAGTATGATTTCGTAAAATTCGAGAAAGGATAACTGTAACATTTCATTATTTTATTGTACACTATACACAACATCCTATATGGTGAGCTTGTTACACCTATGCTATATATATGTGACAGCAAGAAGAATGATTATTTATCGTATCACTGATTATATTATCATTAATTTTTGCATCGTTAAATTATTATTTTTTAGTAATGCATATTACGTAAACTTATTAATTTAAATATTTTAAAAAATTTTGGATAATATGTTCCGCATTGTTCCAGAAATTAGCTTTTCCATAATTTTATTTTCAAAACTACTGGTAGCTGATTTCTGTGTGCATGCATGTCCTCCCGTAAAAAATGCTACCATAACATTATATTAGGTTGTTGCAAATTGAAATGTCGCTTCTATTAATTATTAACAATAAAATTATTAACAATAGCCATCATTTTCATGGTATGTTGGAGATTAATTTGTACTTTTTAAGAAATGCTATTTATTTTAGCAGTAAAACTACTTAAAAATATTCAATGAAATTGAAAACAGATGATGGATTAAGACAAAATTCGGCTAAAATCTCTCCGTGTATTCACAGTGCAAAATTTTGTCAGACTCAGATAAACTCTATATAATTTTATTCACGGTTTGGTGCAGATTATTTCAAAAAAATACATTTAACAAAGAAACTACAATTAATAATGCTTTCTAACAATTAGCTGCTTTACTTCCATCAACTTAGGTTTTTAATAATAATTGTATGAACATATGTACGTGCATTTCCTTGTGAAGCGTAAATAATCATACTTATTTAATCCTCCAGTGCACGTACAGTGTCGGACAAATAAATTTGTTGAATTTTTATGAATAATACAATGTATTACCATTCAACTAATTGATTGGTTTATAGAGAAAAGGGTAATAAATAATTTATAATAATAAATTTAACGAATTCTAACATAAAAAATATATTTTGAAACAAACAAAAATTTAATTGACAGAAGTATTCGGACAAGTGTTAAATATTACAGAAATTATACGATAAAGGACAATTTACAAATTTATCGATACAGAACGATGAAATAACTTAATATTTTGTAGAAAAACCTTTAGAATCAATAACTGCTTGCATCCTTCTAGGCATAGATTTCAAAAGGTTCTGTATTGTAGTAGGAGGAATGTTCTGCCACTTTTGGAGGAGTATTCCGTATAAATATATTTACACCGACAACCCTCGTATTTATCTATCTTGCCTAATTGATGTTTTTTTTGGTCGTCCAGACTTGGATAAATTGTCCAAGTGGCCTCTTTCTAGAAATCGTTTATTAATACTATACATGGTTTGCTTTGTAATGTCAAAACGTCGCGATACATCAGATAATGCTTCATCGCCGTTTAAAACATTTATAATTTTTTTCCTTTATAAATTTCGATAAATTTTGCCTTCGTACCAATCTAGGAAGAGTAAAATAAAAACATAAAAACGAGATTAACAAGTATTCAAAATTTAGATCATAAATTACACTTACAAATGAAACGTCCGAATACTTTTGTCCAATTGAATACAAATAAAACTTATTTTACTCGTAGTAAGACGCAGATATTACCGTGTGGCTTGTATGCTAGCTAGCGATACACTAATATGTAGTAAACAATCTATAAAAGGACGTTCTTGTACCAATAATATAACAAATAAAAACACAAAAACGTCTTTGTCCGAATACATTTGTCCGGTACTGTATACATATATTGGGTTTCTGGGACCCATAAGAATATCGTTTTTCCGTTTGAGTACTCTTCATCCGAACACTGGAGGGTTAACTAACGAAATTCTTTACAATTGAGTAAAATATACCACTGAAAACAGACAACATTTTATATGCACAACTTACTACATACCTCGTAGTTAATGTTGATGATAACACCACTATCTGGATCTTTAACACCAGGGCATATTAATGCTATAATATCTATCATCTTTGCAGCTCCCAGTTCTTTAAAGACCAATAATACGTCAGCTGTAATTAAAAAAGTAGAAAACTTTATGCGATTAAGTATATAAGCAATGAGGCACAATTCGCTGTTAGCGAATGAATCTCAATTTTTTGAAAAGTCACGTTTGAACATTTATGAAATATAAACCACTGTTGAAATCTCTTCTAACGAAAAGATTCCAATTTGTTTTTAACAATTCTTTACATAGCCGTTCTGTTTATTAATAATATAATAGTCTTATATAATAAATAACAATATTTATTATATACTACTTCATATTCAGAAAGGATTATATTTCGCGTGAAAATTTAAACCGAAAAAGCGCGGGAAAACTGCAAAATCAAGAAATGTGTATTTGTATTGTATGTATTGGAAGGACCCCAGGCTTGACTCAAGTCCATGGATCTATGTAGATACACCAGAACATATATGTATACATATACATAACATAGTAAATATCCTAATCAAGTATATGTATA